GCCCCAGAATCTATCAGCCTGGACTCTGGCTTGGCTGTAGGTTCCCTGCGACTCTCCACACAGACACTGCAGTTAGAGGTTAATTCTCCTGCTGATCGCCCTTATTATTTTCCTCCACAGTCAGTTCTGTCCACCTGGGGTTTCTCTTTCATGTGGTCATGAACTTCTGGGTTGCCCTCATGAATGTGGCATCAAGCTAATTAGCTAAGCCGGAAATGAGCTGTTTTCTCAGAACTGTTCTGTATAAATGTGGCAGTGGGACAGGGTGTCCTTTTTTATTATTTTTTATTTTGAAGAATTTTTTAGTTGTAGATGGACACAATGCCTTTATTTTAGTTATTTGTTTTTTTATGTGGAGCTGAGGATTGAACTTAGTGCCTCACACATGTGACGTAAGAGCTCTATCACGTCTACCACTGAGTCCCAGCCCCAGCCCCAGCCCCAAGGTGCTCTTTACAGGCAGCTCTCCTGTTGGGTGCAGGGGCCAGGAGAAGCTTGACTCCCTCACAGACACCCCTGCAGAGGAGGGGGGAAGGCAAGGCTTACCTGTGTGGGAGATCACAATTTAAGGAGGAGGAGGAGCAGGGGTCTCTCTGAGGTCACACAGCCTTCTGTGACTCTCTAATGCTTCTGCCTTTTTCACTCCCCCCCCCATTTCACTGCGACTCAGAGGAAGCCCCTGGAGAACAAGGCAGGGGAGGGGCACCTGTCATAACCCCCCAGGAGATGGCTCCTCCCACTCAGCACTCATCACACACAGCTAATGATGGTGACAAAAGAATAATAGAAAAATATATGGATGGGGCATTTCTAGAACATGGAATTGTGCAAATAAAGATGCTGTCCTCCCTTGTGCTCTGTGTGGGAGACCAACCTTGTATGTGACTGAGTCACACTCCCCCCTGGGTGATGAGGGGTTGGGCAGCAGCCGTGCCAGACTTCCTGCCCTTCCAAGGTTTGTGTAACTGTGTCTTCATCATAGTTGTGCCTTCCTGCAGCCCCAGGGGTAAAATTACGCTCATCTCTTCCTTTATGATATTACCCTTTGCCCTGTTTAGGATAGAATGTTCCATGGAAACACCCTTTGTGTGTCCCCTCCTCTTACTGTGTCCTTGGGTGTGGCCCACCCAGGTGTCAGTCAACCTGCTGACAGTGGACATCATGAAGACAGACTCAGCCCCCTGAAACCTGACCCCTGGCCTCATTTGAATAGTTTCTCCTCAGTAAAAGGGGTCAGCAAGTGCAGGAGCTATGGCGCTCTCTCTCTCTCTTTCTGTGGACCCTGGACCCTTAAGGTCAGAGGAGCTGTCACAACGACCCCAAAAGAAAAAGGTATTGTGTCTCTTGTGTGGTTATTTCACACAGCCCAGTCAGCCCAGTTCCCCTGGAGTGACCCCTGAGTGTCTTAGTCAGGAGTATCCCAGTAATTGGCGTTCCTGGGTGGGCAAAAAGGTCTCAATGCTTAAGATGTCAGGATAAAAGCTGCAAAGGGACAAAAGCCACAGCTCTGTGAACCCCAGAGCTCTATCCTGACTCTCTGTCCCTTTTTCATTCTCTCTGGCCTCTGCTCTTCCTCTACTTTATGCTGAAACTTCATAATTCTCCCCAAAACCTGAAGAACTCTACATAGCTCAGATGGAGAAGTGGAATGAGTTGTGGGTGAAGAGAGCCCTTGAAACTTTAAGGATGGGGAGCATGGGAAGCCTAGAAACAGCCAGTGGTTGGTGGGTAGTTTGCACACAAAACGGGGGTTCCCCTGACAGCACTAAGAAAAGTCACTTGCCAGAGTCACAAGTTTGAAGAGTGTTCAGGATGGCAATCAATTTGCAAATTGATACGTGGTTTCATAAGCAGATCCTTTGTGCCCAGCCCTTCCCTGAAACAACATGTGTCTGTTGTAATATATGATGGGAGGGACCCGCTTTAGATTCCTCCCTCTGTGTATCCATAACCCCTTTGTAAACCACAGCCCAAGGTCCCAGACAGTTCTTCTGCTGCTCTGCCTCCCCCTGCTCTGCAGCTGAAGCAGAACCATGCTGCCCTTAATCTTGGGTAAGGAGACTCCAGCCCCAAGTTGAGCCTAAGTGTTCTCTCACCCCTTTGTTCCTCTGAACCTCAAACTCAGTTCTCTCCTCTGTATTCAGTTCTCAGCTTCCCATCTGGCAATCACCCCTGTCTTTCCTGACTGCACTGCAACCCTCTGTAGTCTGGCTGTCTACACCTCACATGTCTACACTGCAAATTTCGGAAGCCTCACTCTTCCCAGAGCCCTCCCTGCATTTCCTCACCTGCCAGCCCTGACCTGACCCCACAGTCGGTCTCTAAATCCACTCAGCCATCACCAGCCATCTCCCACCCAAGAACCTCAGTGACATTGTCTTTTGGCCCCTGATCACGGCCAGTTCGCTAAACTCCCAGCATCACTTTAACTTCCCTTTTATTTTCAGCTGCTGTCTTCATGTCTGAACTCCTGGGCTCAACACCCTCAGGAGTCACAGGTGAGGACAGGTCGGGTGAGGAGGGGGGAGATGGCTCTGTGGATGGGGGCGGGTATTAGGCTGGTCCTTGAAGCTAACCCAGTTCTGTCTCTTCCAGATACTGGCCCAT